AAAAAAAAAGAAACTGTCCAGATGGCCTGACTGAAAATTATTTGATTGTATACCTGGATTATTGAGCATGGACTTTGTTGGTATTTGTTGTTGTTGTTGTTGTTGTTGTTGTTGTTTGTTGTTGCTGCTGCTGTTATTGTTGTTGCTGCTGCTGCTGCTGCTGTTGTTGTTGTTGTTATACGGATGCACAATATTGGATTTTTGACCGATAAGCCGATATGTTAAGACTTATTTGGCCAATACCAGTACCGATATTTTTAATATACGTTCCTTTGTCAGAGCATAGCCCTCTTATTTAGGCTTATTTTCTACAAAAATTGTGAAACAGCTTTAAGAGCTGGTGACATATATTCAGTAACAGCCATATAGACGGGGACCCTGGTGGTCTGATCCTCGGCTACAGAAGCTGGCTATTGGGACATGGAATGTCACCTCTCTGGTGGAGAAGGAGCCTGAGCTGGTGTGTGAGGTTGCAAGGTTGTTGGTGCCTGGCGCGGCGGTAACCCTTGAACCCGGTGGTGGACACCGGCGGTGAGGGATGCTGTCAGGCTGAAGAAGGAGTCTTATCGGGCCTTTTTGGCCTGTGGGACCCCGGAAGCAGCTGATGGATACCGGCAGTCCAAGCAGCATGCAGCTCGGGTGGTCACTGAGGCAAAAACTTGGGTGTGGGAGGAGTTTGGAGAGGCCATGGAGAATGACTTCCGTTCGGCTTCGAGGCGATTCTGGTCCACCGTCCGGCATCTCAGGTAGGGAAAGTGGTACTCCACCAACACTATTTATAGTGGAGGTGGTGTGCTGCTGACCTCAGCTCGAGATGTCGTGGGTCAGTGGGCAGAATACTTCAAAGACCTCCTCAATCCCACTGGCACGTCTTCCACTGAGGAAGCGGGGCCTGGGGACTTTGGTTCGGGCTCTCCAATCTCTGGTGCTGAGGTCACCAAGGTGGTTAAAAAGCTCCTCGGTGGCAGGGCCCCAGGGGTGGATGAGATTCGCCCGGAGTTCCTTAAGGCTCTGAATGTTGTAGGGTTGTGTTGGCTAACACGACTGCAATATTGCGTGGACATCGGGGGCAGTTCCCCTGGATTGTCAGACTGGGGTGGTGGTCCACCTATTCAAAAAGGGGGACCGTAGAGTGTGCTCCAACTACAGGGGGATCACGCTCTTAAGCCTCCCTGATAAGGTCTATTCGGGGGTTCTGGAGAGGAGGGTCCATTGGATAGTAGAACCTTGGATTCAGAAGGAGCAGTACGGTTTTCGTCCTGGTCGTGGAGCACTCAGCAGGGTCCTGGAGGGTGCGTGGGATTTTGCGTAACCAGTCTACATGTGCTTTGTGGACTTGGAGAAGGTGTTGGAATGCGTCCCTTCAGAAGCCCTGTGGGGGGTACTCCGGGAGTATGGGGTACCAGGCCCTTTGATACGGGCTGTTAGGTCCCTGTACGACCGGTGTCAGAGCTAGGTCCGCATTGCCGGCAGTAAGTCGGGCTCGTTCCCAGTGAGAGTTGGACTCAGCCAAGGTTGCCCTTTGTCACAGATTCTGTTCATAACTTTTATGGACAGAATTTCTAGGCGCAGCCAAGGTGTTGAGGGGATCTGTTTTGGTGGCCTTAGGATCGCTTCTCTGTTTTTTGCAGATGATGTGGTCCTATAGGCTTCATCAGGTCGTGATCTACAGCTTTCGCTTGAGCGGTTCGCAGCCGAGTGTGACGTGGCCGGGATGAGGTCCTACCCCAAGTAGAGGAGAGGCCATTGCTGGTCCGTATACAATGTTGGATTGTATACCTAGATTATTGAGCATGGACTTTGTTGTTTTCAACCAGTTTGACACGACTGTCACCAAGGAAGAGGGTCGGCAATGGAGGAGAGGGCGTGGCAAAGAGACCATCTTAGCACCAACATAACTTGTTTGTTCCATTTTGGAGTAAGCTGTTGGGAGAAGAATCAGTTTTGTGTTGTGTGTTTACTTGACTGATGAAGCCTTCCGGATCAAAGGTGAAACGTTTCAGCACAAAAAAAGAAACTGTCCAGATGACTTGACTGAAAAATGTTGGAGTAAACCCTGATGTGTCACCACACCTTGGACACCTCCCTCAGGACGAGGAGGAGACCGCAGGGCAGACCCAGAGCTCACCTGAGGGATTATATATCATCTCTGGCCTGGGAACATCTTAAGATCCTCCAGGAGAAGCTGGAGAGTGATGGTGAAGAGAGGGTATTCCACAAGGAAACTGATGGAGTGATGGACAAATCAAGAGCTAAAACATTAAATCAGCTGTGTGGATTATTTTTTTCAAAGGACTTATTGCTTCATTCAGACCAGGATTTTTAGTAGAGCTTGTTCGTCTGCTCAGACAAACGCATCAAAGTAAAGGAAAAGTAGGCAGTTTTTCTTAGTTTGTGTTTCTCTACTTTTAATTTGTTTTTTTTTATTTACTAGTTGAATTGGTCAGCGTGAACACCTCTTCTGTAATCCTATAAAATAAATACATAAAGCACACAATTTTGTTATTGTCCTCATTACTCAGAACATCTGTAGTTTTATTTTTGTAAGAAACTGAAGCTTTGTCATGGATATGTAAAGACAGTTATTTTAGATATACGCAAGCATGGCCCCTTCTTTCACATCTTTGTTTATGTACACAATGAGAGAAATAAAAGATAATTTTAGATGTATGTGTAACACACGTGCTAACTGGATCTAAAAGCAGTAGGTGAGGTTTGAGTAGATGATGTGTGGTGAATATTTACGATTGTCTCATTTCAGGGAGTACTTTGATGATGGTGGGGGACTGTGAGAAACGATTAGGAGCAGCAGAGAGGGAGTTCATCCATACCTCAGCCATAAGTTTTCTCACTCCACTCAGGAACTTTCTGGACGGAGACTGGCGGACTATTTCAGTGAGTTTGAAACACCAAATCTGTTGTACTTCTGCCATCAGACAGCCTTTCCAGTTTGTCCTTGCAGCAGGCCAGTAAAGTCCTGCAGAAGTGGTCCAGTTCGCTCATTGCTTCAAAACCAGTCAGTAAAGAAGCCAGGTCAAGTGATATGAAAGTTAAATGTTGATTATCCTTGAAGAATGTGATGTCATATACAATTTGACTGTCTGTCAATGTTCAGAATACATGTGAATGTTTTCACCTACTACCACTTCACATCTGTTAAACTTGTTGATTTAGACCCATATTTGCCTTCACTCAGCTGTGGTGATCATCTGGAATAGTACTGAGTCCAAAAGTCCATCATTTGTAGATCTAATGATCTCTGAGAGTTGCAATAAAATCCATACATTGGTTCATGAAATCTCTTGTTACCACGACAGAAAAAGAATGCATACACATACAGGCAATAACATTATCACCCTTCACCTTTGGCATTGGGTGTTGGGTGAAAACCAGAATGTTCAGCAGCTTCATCTTTCAGGCGATAAATGGTAAAATGGTAAATAGACTGTACTTATATAGCGCCTTTCTATCTTATTTCAAGATACTCAAAGCTCTTTACAACAATCTGTGCCTCATTTACCCATTCATACAGCACTCTTTAGATCTCTACAAAGCTAATTGAACAAATCATTCTAATGAGAATAATCAGAGCTTTCTCACATTCATACACTGATGGGACACACATCAGAGGCTATGAGGGGTTCAGTGTCTTGCCCAGGGACACTTCGGCATGTGACTGCTGGTGGATTTGAACCCCCAACTCTCGCATTGGAGGACGACTGCTCTAACCACTCAGCCACAGTTGCCCCCACTCAGCCACATCCGCCCCCGATAAGGCTGCTGAACCTCCATTAATACTCTGAACACCACTGGACAAGACATATGTACCTTTGTTCAATCAGATATTCACATATATGAAATGGCTTTCTGTTTTATATACTTGTGCGATCAGTGCATGCATAGGCATCGCAACCATTATATGTGAAGGGGACATGTCCCCCCACATTAAAAAAAGATGTTCATTTGGACCCCCCCTCCCATTTTTACTATGAAACATTAGTTCAGACGGCGCAGTTTCTCTTTCTTTGTGAACAAATCCATTCCACTTGATCAATAGGAGAATAATCCAGCCACTAAAACTCCACTCCAGGTTTTCCTGGTTACCTCCAACTCTCTGAGTCTCCTCCTGCCTCGGCAGAAAACACGCACGCACAGGTGGAGGAGATGGAGACTGTGTTGCTCGCTCGCCAGTTTAGCAGCTTAGTGCGGCAGTTGTTGACCGGGGGGGTTGATCATAAACATATATTCATGTTAGGAGGATGCTTGAGAGAAGTGGAGCGCTACGTCTGTAGCATGTTCTCTTAGCGGTAACTGTGACGCTGTAAGACTCTGCAAGTGTAAGAGACGCTGTGTGTTCAGGTGCATTAAAGTTGAAATGTCTTTAAACCCCCACACCTTATTGTCCTCAAGCTTCATGAGAAACATCATTTAGATGAGTAGTGTTGAACACAAGTAAAAAAGTCCAGTGCTGATGTTTTTTATTTCTCTAAAAACACAAATAGTTCTGACCTGACGCTCTGCATTAAGTGTATTAAAGTTAAAATGTCTTTAAAACCCACAGCTGAATTTACACAAACTTGGTGAGAAACATGATTTAAATGTGTGGAATTAAAGCAAATCTAGGTGAAATGTTGCTTTATTGTACAGTAGTGTAGACTTTTTTTGTGTGCGCACACACACACCTACACGCATCATTGTGTCCCCCCACATTAGGGTTGCTTCTGACACCCTTGAGTGCATGCATTATAAAAATGTAGAATGCCACAAAAAATACTTACAAATTGGGGACTACAAAGGCAGCCATCTATTTTTCGACCTGAAGAGGGTCTTGTTCTTTGTTCAACTTTAATGCGATCTGAACCACAATGTCCCCCCCACAAATGTTATATCAAAACGACCAGCTCGGCGCCGTGATGTGTGCTACTACTTTTATTGGCGTTTTGAGTTACCGTGGCAACGTAATGTACAAACACAGACACATTTTTTCTCATTGAAAACACTGACCGAACTCTTCACAGCCTCCAATTGTCACAGTGAGGTCACATGACCGAGCATGAAGAGGTCTCTGAACAAAACGCGATTAACTTTTGGAGCCATTTTGGATCAAAATCAGAAAACTAAAATTGACTAACTTTGTCATTCTTTGAGATATTGAGCTGAACTTTGGTATGGTCATAGCTGAGAGTGAGATGTTTTACATTCTTAGTGCAAATTATAAATCCAACATGGCCACCTTGTTTAATCAGGACAAAATACGATAACTCGGCTATTTAAAACGATATTGAACTAAAAATTAGTTTGGTGGTACCTGACAGAGATGCACAACACATTCTGAATTCAAATCTTAAAATTCAAGATAACTAAACCTAATTTCAAATATAACTCAGATGTTTTTAGAGCTATTCAGCAGAAATTTGGTGCCCTGGTTGTTGATAACAATCCTTAACAGACTCTGATTGCAAATCATAAATCCAAGATGGCCACCGGAGTTTATAAGGAAAAATACTATAAATCAGACATTTTTAAAGATATTAAGCTGAAATTTGTTTTAGGGTCATCCAGGTTTTTATGTCTTTAAGACATGCTTGTAGTCTAAGTAACTGATTGGATTCATTGGGTTTCATGGACAAATATAATTGTGTGTCATCAGCATAACAATGAAAATGTATCCCATGCTGTTTAATAACTTTACATAATGGAAGCATATACAAGGTAAAGAGTATTGGTCCAAGCACTGAACCCTGAGAAACTCCATGACTAACTTTGGTGTATGAAGAAGATTTATTATTTACATTTACAAACTGGAATCTATCAGATAGATATGATTTAAACCATTTTAGAGCTGTTCCTGTAATCCCAATATCATATTCAAGCCTCTGTAGTAAAATATTGTGATCAACTGTATCAAATGCAGCACTGAGGTCTAACAGGACCAGTATAGACACAAGTCCATTGTCTGAGGCCATGAGAATATCATTAGTGACTTTTACTAGTGCTGTTTCTGTGCTATGATAAACTCTAAATCCCTGCCTGAAACGCTTCAGATTATTTCTTTGTAGACGTTCACGCAACTGACCTGCAACTATTTTCCCTAGAATTTTTTAGATGAAAGTTAGATTAAGTAAAGTTTTAATTACAGAAATCTTAAAACGCTGTGGTACGTAACATTCATTAGAGACAAATTAAACAAATTCATTATGTATTTATTAATTAAGGGAAATATCTCTTTAAACAGTCTGGTTGGGATGGGATCTAGCAGACGTGGATGGTTTGTGTGAAACTATTATTTTTGAAAATTCAGAGAGCTCAACAGGACAAAAACTGTCCAAACATAAATCAGGTACTAGTGACATTTTTAAAGTTGTCTCATCTGACACAGAACCAGAGGCGATAGTAGGAATGTTTGTTTTGAATTTTTTCCCTAATTGAAATAATTTTATTTATAAAGTATCTCATGAACTCATCACTGCTTATAGATGTAGGAATACATGGTTCAACAGAGATAAGATTTTTCATTAGACTAGCTATGGTACTTTAAAGGAACCTGGGGTTATTTTTATTCTCATCAATGTAAGATGAATAATATAAAGTTCTATCTTTACAGAGCACTTTTTTATATGTTAGCAGGCTGTCTCTTCAAAATATTAAAAATTCTTCAACGTTAGTGGAGCGCCATTTTCTGTCCAGCTTTCTGCCTGTTTTAAAGTACATAACTCAGAATTGAACCAAGGAGCCAGTGTTCTCTGATTACTTTCTTTTTCAGCAGAGCAGTTTTATCAAGTGAAGTTTGGAAAGAAGTTGTAAATTTATCAACCAGATGATCTAAGCTACTGTTCTCTGATGCATTACTCTGCAAGACAGAGGAAAACATTGATGGAAGAGATTGTTTAAATTTGGTTACAGCTTTTTCTGATAAGCACCTGCTGAGATGAAATTTACTCTCAGTGACTGTGTAGTCATTTAATGTAAACTCAAAGTTATTAAAAAATGGTCGGACAGAAGGACTTTGAGGAACTATTACAAAGTCATTAATTTCTATGCTGTAAGTCAGAGCCAGATCAAGAGTGTGATGATGAGAATGAGTAGATGTTCGGACATTTTGGATAAAACCAAATGAGTCTATTAAATTATTAAAGGCTACACTTGAGCGTTCACTTTCAACATCCACATGAATATTGAAATCACCCATTATTATGACTTTATCAGTATTTAGTAGTAAGTCAGTTAAGAATTCTGATAATTCAGACAAAACCTGAGAATAGGAACCTGGTGAACTTTGATAACAGTCTATCTGTTTTAAATTGTGCTCTATAAATAAATATGACTTGACTTGGTGGACGATGTATAACAACTAGTGAGAGTGGCCTTTCTGATTTACATTTTGGATGAGAAAGACTTTAAGGCAGCGACTCAAAAGTATTATAACTAATAATTGATTAAGTATTAATCAATAGTCCCGACTGAAAAATAGAAGTTATATCTGGGGCGGCTGTGGCTGAGTGGTTAGAGCAGTCGTCCTCCAATGCAAGAGTTGGGGGTTCAAATCCACCAGCAGTCACATGCCGAAGTGTCCCTGGGCAAGACACTGAACCCCTCATAGCCTCTGATGTGTGTCCCATCAGTGTATGAATGTGAGAAAGCTCTGATTAGTCTCTTTAGAATGATTTGTTCAATTATCTTTGTAGAGATCTAGTAGAGTGCTGCATGAATGGGTAAATGAGACACAGATTGTTGTGTAAAGCGCTTTGAGTATCTCCATAAGATAGAAAGGCATTATATAAGTACAGTCCATTTACCTCTGCCTCGACTTGTTTTAGGAACATGAAAATTTAAATAATTAACAAGAGTGGATTCATTTATACTAACAAAATATTCCTGTTGTAGCCAAGTTTCTGTCAGACAGAATAAATCAATATAATGATCAGTTATCACGTCATTGACTAACAGGGATTTAGAGGAAAGAGATCTGATGTTCGATAGTTCATATTTAATGATTTTTTTTTTTTTTTGGTAAATTAACTGTGTTAAATTTAATAAGATTAATATGGTTTATATTTTTAGAGCAGATTTTTGGTTTATTTAATTTGAGCCGTGGGCGAGTTGACACTGTTTCAATGGGGGTGTGGGTGGGTAACGGAGGAGAAGCAGCAGACTGTTAATTGTCAATAATTTGGATGTCCAACTGAATCACATAAGTTTTTGGAGAGAAGAACTGTTTAACATGTAGAGCTGAAATTTGGTGTAGTTATAGCTGAGAACATTCCCCATCACATACTGAATCCAAATCAAAAATCCAAGATGGCCACCATAGCTTAAAAGAAACATTTATCGTTATAACTCATTGATTTTTTTCATTTTATTTGGTTATTTATTTGCCATAGTGAGCTGAAATTTTGTATGTTGGTAGCTGAGAATGAACCTCAACACATACTGTCAAATCAAAATTTAAAATGACTGCCACGTGGCAGTCCCCTTCAAAGTTTCTCCAGGAACTTTCCAGTTACTTTCTACTCTCTGAAGGCAACGTTCATGTGTTTAGGCCCTACAAGACAATACAGATCACTTTAAGAGCCATATTTCTCAGCTTAACAAGCATGATTGGTGTACATCTTACATATTTCTACAGCTGGTTACTGCTAACAGGGTCATTATGTTGTGTAGAAAGAGCGTCGTCTGCTGGAGAACCTTCGACTGGATCTGGATGCTTGTAAAGCCCGCCTGAAGAAGGCAAAGATGGCTGAGGCTAAGGCTGCGGTGAGTCCTTTAGTGCGTTTCTACAGCCTGTCCATTCATCTTTCTAATGAATAATGTTTGTGTGTCAGCATTAATCGTCACTAACTGTCTCTATGTTGACCACCTTTGCAGTGTGAGGGTGAAGTAAGTATTAAAAACTGTTTTACAGTACCATCTTCACTTTGGTTGTTTTTTCAGTTTGACTGATCTGGTTCTGTGGTTTGTTTAAGACGAGATACAATAAATACCAAATTTTTAAAAACAAAACAGTGGACTGAAAAAACTGTACAACTTCAAGCTGTCTTATTGAAGAGTGTGTGCTTTTATCAGAAGCCATTGACGAACTCAGAGACATGTTGGTCTATGACTGACGACAAACTTTGCAAAGGGCTTTCTGTTTGATGTGATCTTGTTTTCTACATATTTAGATCATTGAAAATATTTATTTTTCATTTTCTATGACTGTTTCATATTCAGCCATAGAAAAGTGTCTTTATCCTCTCACATTCAGAGAAGCTTAGTGCCTGAGGGAAACAAGATGGAAACAGAGCTGCTGCTTCAAACTCGTCTTATCAGTTCAGTTTTACTGATAGGTCTGATTATTTAAAATTATTTGTTGCGAAATGCAGGAGTTTATATATTTGATCAAATAATTTGTAAAATATTGTAATTTGAACGTAAGAGTAACTTCTCTTAAATTCACACACACACAAACACACACACAGAGGCAAAATAAGCAGAAGAAGCCACCCTTAAGTATTTCACGCTCCAACTATCAGCAGTAGTTTTAATATGGAGGATTATGGACGCTACCCTTGCACCACTATTCTGCACCCAGACAGCAGCCTGTTTTCACAACAAAGAAAAAGAATACAGATGTAACCCTTCTGAGGATGTTACCAGTAATAAAACAAACACACAAAGATTAAAATATTATTATGACCAACACCAATGATCTACACTTTTTTGTTTTAATTTTGCTCTTTCTTCGTTTTACACTGCCCTCTTAAAGAATTGGTCCAGTGGGGACAATTTCTTTATTTTTGCTATGGACTGAAAACACGGGGCAGCATGGTGGAGCAGTGGTAGAGTTGCCGCCTCTCAGCGAGCAGATCGTCCCAGTACAAATCCTGACTGGGACCTTTCTGGGTGCAGTTTGCATGTTCTCTCCGTGCATGCGTGGGTTTTCCCCGAATACTCCAGTTTCCTCCCACAGACCAAAAACATGCATGTTAGACTGATTGGTAACTCTAAATTGTCCCTAGGTGAGAGAAAGACCTGTCCAGGTGTCCCCTGTCTCTTGCACAGTGATAGCTGGACATGGGCACCAGTGACTCCCATGACACCGAAAAGGAAGAAGTGGGTAGGGCGGAAGGAAGGAAGGAAAGGAAGGAGGGAGGGAGGGAGGGAGGGAGGGAGGGATCCATTCATCCATCCCAGGACCACATGGACAATGAGCCATTCACATGCTCACTCACACATTGAGACAATTTTAGTTATCAGTTAACTTCACATGCATGTTTCTGATCTATGGGAGGAAACCAGAGGAACTGGAGAAACTCGTTCATGCACAAGAAAAAAATGCAAACTCCACACAGAAAGGTTTCCAGAAAATAGGCGATTCTGTGACCTTCGTACTGTGAGGCCACAGTTCTAACCACTGTTAAGTGTTTCCCCTACCATTATACAAGCGGGGTGCCCCACCCCGTCAACAGAACTGAGCACCCCGCCTACCAAATCGAACTTGAAACCCCCACCCCCCACTCCCCATCCTGCACTGACATAGCACCAAGCTAGCGGCCCGAAATACAGGCTCTCTAGCTAAAAAACTAAAGGTGCCTCTTCCTTCATGCTGAACGGCCCCGCCCCCACTCAAAAACTCTTGGTCCAAGCTTCGCTCAGACATGTCTCCGTCCCTCCCCATCAACAAAAATCATGGATGAGATGAACATCCCGCCATGGCAAGTTAACTAGGGGAAACACTGCTGTTCCACCAGGATTGACATCAAAAGATAAATATGAGACCAGAGAGTAATATTTCAGCTTTTATTGACTGATTTACTGTATATATCTGGATCATATACACAACTTACAAGGTAGCATTAACAGGAGTACTTGATATAGATTAAAGTGAATACAGTAATACTTAATCTCTTGTTGCAAATATTTTGCTTGCATCTGAGGAATTTCCTCTGCACATCAAAAAGAAAGTCTACATGCAGAAAAAAGGAATTTCACAGAATGTGAGTTGGAGAAGCTTCTAAATAAGGTAGAGGTATGTAAATTCTGTTTGGCATGCTGACCTCTGGCATTAGTATCAAGCACAAGAGGAGTGCCCCACCATGCTGTTCATTACAACGAATGAATCGTGAGTTGAACTGGGCTACTTCGCTACAGTGTTGGTTAGTTGCTTTTGTGCATCTCGTATAATTTGCACACTGATTGAATGAAAATGCTTCCTGATTTTATAGCAATTTGTGTGCAGTGGATAGCTCTGATTACATTTGGAAAATGGTAAATGGATTGTACTTATATTGCAACTTTCTATCTAATCAACATACTCAAAGTTCTTTACAACACAATCTGTGCCTCATTTACCCATTCATACAGCACTCTACTACACACACATTCATACAGCACTCTACTAAACACACAATCATACAGCACTCTACTACACACACATTCATACAGCATTGTACTACACACACATTCAACCAGCACTCTACTACACACATTTCATACAGCACTCTACTACACACACATTCATACAGCATTCTACTACACACACATTCAACCAGCACTCTACTACACACATTTCATACAGCACTCTACTACACACACATTCAACCAGCACTCTATTACACACATTTCATACAGCACTCTACTACACACACATTCATACAGCACTCTACTACACACATTTCATACAGCACTCTACTACACACACATTCATACAGCACTCTACTACACACGCATTCATACATCACTCTACTACTCACACATTCATACAGCACTCTACTACACACACATTCATACATCACTCTACTACACACGCATTCATAAAGCACTCTACTACACACACATTCATACAGCACTCTACTACACACATTTCATACAGCACTCTACTACACACATTCATACAGCACTCTACTATACACACATTCATTCAGCACTCTACTACACACACAGTCATACATCACTCTACTACACACACATTCATACAGCACTCTACTACACACATTTCATACAGCACTCTACTGCACACATTCATACAGCATTCATACAGCACTCTACTACACACACACATTCATTCAGCACTCTCTACACACATTCATACATCACTCTACTACACACACATTCATGCAGCACTCTACTACACACATTTCTTACAGCACTCTACTACACACACATTCATACAGCACTCTACTACACACACATTCATGCAGCACTCTACTACACACACATTCATGCAGCACTCTACTACACACTTATTCATACAGCACTCTACTACACACACATTCATACAATCCTCTACTACATCTTTATAAACCTAATCTGAATCTGTAGTGACCAATCAGAGCTTTACATCACATTCATCTGATGGAATACACATCGGACGTTATGAGTGGTTCAGTCTCTTGCCCAGGGACACTTCAGCATGTGACTGCTGGTGGAATTGAACCCCTAACTCTCCCATTGGTGGACAAATGTTCTAACCTTGCAACAACAGCTGCCCCAAACCAGCTGTCACTGCATATTGTGCTTTAATGTTTTTCTCTTCAGAGTCATAGTCAGATTCTTTATTGTCATTCGCACCTCATGTGGTACATGTGGTGGAGCGAAATTATGTACACAGGTTCCCAGTTATATCCAACAATAAAATGTATAAGAAAAACAGTAATAAGATCTAACATATGAACTAAGAAAAACATCAACTAAATATACACTAAGCACTCATAACATAAAACATTGAACATCAGCACAAACATGAACATGAGTCTGTGTGAGCGGATGTGCACGCATGAACACATCAACATTGAAACGGATCAGCAGCAACATGAAACAGATCAGCAGCAACACAATGCAATTTTTTTCACAGTGATTATTCTAGTTAGAGATTCATGAGTCTAACAGCCTCAAGGTAGAAGCTGTTTCTCAGTCTAGTGGTTCTACACTTAATGCTCCTCAACCTCCTTCCTGAGGGGAGTGGGGCAAAAAGTGTGTGTGCTGGGTGAGTGAGGTCCTTCATGATGCAGGTGGCTCTCTTCCTGCATCTAGAGTTGTAGATGTCTGTGATGGTGGGGAGGCTGACTCCGACAGTCTTCTGTGCAGCCTTCACCACTCTCTGCAAAGCTTTTCTTTCTGCATCTGTGCAGCCTCCATGCCACATGTTGATGCTGGAGCACAGGTTGCTCTCCACTGCACACCTGTAGAAGGAGGTGAGGACTGAGCTTCTCAGACAAGCTCGCCTCTGCCGCCTGAGGAAGTAGAGTCTCTGATGTGCTTTCTTGATCAGGCTGGTGGTGTTGTTGCTCCAGCTGAGGTTGTTATTCATGTGTACACCCAAGTACTTGTAGCTGGAGACCACTTCCACTGCAGATCCTCTTATGTTCAGTGGGGTGTAGATATTTTTGTTCCTTCTGAAGTCCACAATCATCTCCTTTGTCTTCTTCACATTGATGTGAAGGTTATTCTCTTTGCACAAGCTCTCCAGATGTTCCACCTCCTGCCTGTAGCTGGACTCATCATTGTTTGTGATTCATTCCACCACCGCTGTATCATCTGCAAACTTTACAATGTGACAGCCTGGATGGGTAGCTGCACAATCATACGTGAGCAGATTAAACAGGAGGGGGCTCAACACATCTCCGAGGAGAGCCAGTGCTGATGGTTATGGTGGAGGAGAAGTTGTGGATCCTCACTAACTGTGTTCTGTTTGTTAAGAAGTCTAGTACCCAGTTGCAAATGAAGGGGCTTAGTCCTAGTGTGAATAGTTTGTCCATCAGGGTTTGGGGGATCATGGTGTTTAAGGCGGATGTGAAGTCCACAAAGAGCATACGGACGTATGAGTTTTTCTTCTCCAGGTGGTTGAGCGCAGTGTGGACCACAGAGGAGATGGTATCCTCTGTTGATCGGTTCTCACGGTATGCATACTGATGAGGGTCCTCGTTGATGTTGATGGTTGTTTTGATGTGAGTCGTGACCAGTTTTTCGAAGCATTTAGTGACTATCGGGGTGAGGGTCACTGGCCAATAGTCATTCAGACCAGTCACTGTAGAGCTTTTTGGGACTGGGATGATGTTGGCGGTCTTCAGGCAGGTGGGAACTGTCTCCAGGGTAAGTGAGGTGTTAACGATGTCTGCCAGCACCTCGCAGAGCTGATCGGCACATTCCTTCAACACTTTTCCAGGGATGTTGTCTGGGCCAGTTGCTTTATGCGGATTAATCCTCCTGAAAGTACTCCTTACTTCAGCTGAGGTCACACTGAGATGCTCTTCATCCGGTGGTGAGGTGAGTCTGGTGCTGGGTGGTCTGTTCGGGTCTTCAAAGCGTGCATAGAACTTGTTGAGGGCATCAGGCAGAGATGGGTCTTTGGGGCATTGTTCGCTCCTTCCTTTATAATTTGTTATGCACTTAATGCCCCTCCACATGCTCCGAGGGTCTTGTGAGATGAATTGACCCTCAATCCTCTGTGCATATGTGGCCTTGGCCTTCTTAATACTAGCAACCAGCTCTTTTCTTGTTCTACTCAGCTCCTCTGAGTTTCCAGACCTGAAGGCAGTGTTCCTGGCTTCCAGCAGGGTGCGCACCTCTGCATTCAGCCAAGGTTTTCTGTTCGGGTAGCTTTTAACATTTCTGATAGTGGAGACGGTGTCAGTACATGTACTTATGTAACCCAGAACTGAGGATGTGTATTGGTCTAGATCAAGTGATCCTCCATTTTCAGCAGCTTCTCTGAAAACCTGCCAGTCTGTTTGGTCAAAACATTCTCTCAGTATGGGGCCACTGTCCTGGATCCAACATTTAACTCTCTTTTGTACCAGTCTGTAGCGTCTCAGCGGGGGCATGTAAGCAGGAGCCAAGAAGATTGAGATGTGGTCTGACAGTCCTAGGTGGGGGCGGGGTTCGGCTTTGTATGCATCTTTTACGTTCGTGTAAACACGGTCCAGCGTCTTGTCTCCACGTGTTGGAATTGCCACATGTTGATAAAAGCTTGGGAGACAGTCCTTTAGATTCACATGATTAAAGCCTCCGGCTACAACGTAAAGAGCCTCGGGGTGTTAGCTCTGCAGCGAGCTGATAATATCATGTAGCTCCTGCAGTGATTCATTAGCATTAGCATCCGGAGGAATCTAAACAACTGTGATGAAAGTCACTGTGAACTCGCGGGGTAGATAATGTGGCAGACATTTCACTGTTATTTGCTCCAAAGCCTTCGAGCATGAGCTATTTACAACAGTACAGTTCGTGCACCAACTTTTACTCATGTAAATGCACACTCCGCCTCCCGGTGATTTCCCCGTTAGCTCGTTGCAGCAGTCCGCTTGAAAAAAGAGTCTGTCATCCAGCTGGAAGACTGTATCTGGCGTTTTGCTTGTAATTCATGTTTCCGTGAGGCAAAGCACCGCACACTTCTTCATCTCTTCTGAGGCGCCCACTCTCAGATGAAGTAAATCCATCTTGTTGTCCAGCGAGCGGACGTTCGACAGAAAGAGAGACGGCATGGGGAGTTTACTGGCTTTAGCGTTAGCTCGTTTCCTCACCATAACCCCCGCCCGGCATCCTCTCCTCCTAAGCCGGGAGCAGCGCTTCCTCTTCTGCCCACTGAAATGCCTCTGCTGCAGCTTCCAGGTAGAGGACTTTAAGATCTGCATTCTGCCGAGCGTAGTTTTGAGTTTGTTGCTGATTTCTGCTATATTTCTTGGCAAATCCGCTCCTATTCTCATCAGTTCTGTTCGGCTATAGTTCACACGCATAAATTGTGCGGAGTCAGGCACAGAGTCAATATCAAAACTTCTAAAAACTGGGATGGTACCGGGAGCCTGTGAAGCTGCAACTGCTCTGAGCGCGGCCATCTTGATAGTGACTTCAGCTTTATTGTAGGAAATTTGATATATGTGGTCGACATTTGGATAAATCCATCCCACTCAGCTGGCATGGCTTTATTTCAGGGTGGACTTGCACAGTCCTGATCAATCTTCCAGCTCCCTCTGGATTGCCCCAGTTGGCAAAAACCCCAATGTGGTCAACAGCTGTATGTTTACAGGTAGCACACGGCTCCTCGCAGTGTTGCACTCCAAGACCGGCTGGATCTCCAAGCACAGTTCCGAAAGGATTGACCTTGGAAGTCCTAAAACAGCTGATGAACCAGTCGTCATCGTCAGCCAAAAGGTCCTCTCTGTCTCTAAATACACACTCTCCGCATATTGCACCATTTGCTGTCCTCTAATAAGACTAAAGCCATTGGTGTTAAAAGTATTTTCTGCACAACTTTGCGCATTCTTTTATGTCCACTTGTCTAATTGCATACATGTGGATGTATTATTTTTTCATGGTGTGTCTGGTGTGTACAATAATAGTTTTCACATCATTAATTTCTCAGAATCACCTCTAAGTGTCGCCAATGGACCAATAACCAGAGAAATTGTGTACTCCAACCATGTAGTTGGCCATAGTCATTTCATTTGTGATATATCTGAAATTTTGTGTGAAAAAAGGGTGTACGTCATGTTTTTGTCCATACACACCCTTTGTACACGAGGTCCCTGGACATTTAATTTAAGCTGCCAATGGTAGTTAGGAGCAGTGGGCCTATTTTCAGACAAACTGATTGTCTGGAGGAGAAAAAAGGATTTTTACAATGGTACTTGCACAAGTAGAAGATTTTAGTGAAGAATTCACTAATCCCCCCCCCCCACACACACACACACACACACACACACACACACACACACACAGTCACACACACACACTCTCTCCACTGAAACAAGTTGAGCAGTGAAGCTTTACCTGTCAGTGGTCATAATGTTGAGGCTTGCAGGGTCAAAAAGTAATCAGACTTAAAAAGTCTCAAAAAGTTCAATTTTTGTCAGTAATTTCAAAAAGGTAAAACTCATCTTTAACATAAATTTATTACACACACAGTGAAATATTTCAAGCCTGCAAATCTACAAACTCCTGTAGTTTAAGCCTTTTTGCGTTCATCCTTGTTTTATTTACATCTTGTTTGACCTGCAGGTGGCAGCAGAGCCCCTTGTGTTAAAGGATCAGTAGTTTCATTTGTAAAACACAAACCAGTCACATGCCTGAAGTCTTCCATCGATCACACACTTCACCTCTTGCATAAGCTGTGTAACCACCCACCACGAGTGATGTTCATTCAGTTGTTAAAAATAAAACAATAACAAATGTAAAATAAAAAGCCTTGTGTTCAACAGCAGTTAAACCAACAGGAAAACGTTCAACAAAACTAACTTTTTTTATAGGTCAAATAAAAAAATACTTTATATTATATTGTAATTTGCCTCTTCAAAACAAATATCTGCACAAGTTAAATATTCTAATGAAACCTACAGAGTTTCACTGCTGGTTGACAAGAAACACAACCTCAACAAGATGGCTACAGCTTCAAACATAAATATTCAAAAACCACTCCTTAACAATCGTTCAGCACAGTCAGGCAAAACGTGTTAATTTTAGATACTGATCTGTCAAAAATGTCAAGCCTGTGTAAACAAACGGAAAGAAGTGAGAGAGAGAAACCTGCCGGCTCTATCGTTAGACCTCATCCTGCTGAGAGAATGACGACGTCTGTCTTTGATCTGGTTACTGAACTTCACTAGACAACCATTTTAGGAATAAGGAGGCAGGTCTGGTGGCATAGTTTCCCGAAACTTAGCGATGAAAGAGACGATCATTACGTCATCGGGCGATGCTCAGTGTACAGTGACTCTAGTTTGCTTTGCAGTCTAGGTTAATAACTTGGTCAATTTATAAGAACTTTTTGCAAAACAAGCTGCTTCACAAGCATTCATGCTACATTGCTATGATTAAGGAAAAGTCTAGTTTTACATTAATAAATTTCAAACATTAATTCTACGTGAAGTGTCCGAGGAGGTGCAAAGGCCTGTGTCATACCGGTGTATACTACTTATCATATGTTGTGTGTAATTTATGCAACTTTTCAGCGACAAGTTAGACCAGCACCAGTGACTCTAGTTTGTGTGTAGTTTAAAAAATTATTTTATTAAAAAAAAAAAAAAAACAAGTACTACATGTGTTTCTCACTTTCAAATTTGAATACAATTTCTGATAGATCTAGAGAGAAAAATCTACCAAAAAAACTCTTTAAGGTCTCTATTAATCTTTGGCTTTGATTGTCCAAAATAAAACGGCTAAATGAACATCCTTTAAGAGAGCTAGTTCTGCATTTTCACCAGACTTTGAGCCATTATTTGTGTCTGTTTTATGGATAGACTTTTTTTTCCCTCTTCAATTTCTAGTAAATGCTGCTAAAACTGACCAAGGCAGACTTTTGCAATCCATTTGCATGTTTGCACGTGCATGAATAGGCTGCAGCTGACATTATTATAACAACTGTCATTTCCAGGAGGTCAGTGAAAGACGGATGAGTCAGTAGTTTCAGTAATCTCATTCAGCTTGTTTATATATAGCTGTTGCATCAGCTCTGCTCCTTCCTATTATTACTTCAGTCACACCCAACTGGAAAGTATGCCAGTTGCTGTTAACTCACTACTTCCTCTATCCATAATTACAATGGATTACTGTGGTACCCTTGATTTGACGTCTGCTTTTCATGAAAAAAAAATCATGTTAACAGATTAACCTGCAAATATTTAAAATATTTAACATCAGTGACATTATATATATATATATATATATATATATATATATATACATACTAACGTTGCGGCACATAGCTGCAAAAAACAGATACAAAACAATTATTTTGTATTGTGTGTTTTTTCTTGTTGGCTTTTCTTGATATTTTGCTTTTGAAATTATTATGTGTTTAGAATTTATATAACAATAATAATAAATTTACAACTTGTACACAATGCCACAAATAATGAAATGAGTTTTGCTATTTTTGTAGGTGGCTCCAGACTTTAATGAAACCAGGCCTCGCAACTATGTGCTGTCAGCCAGTGCTTCTGCGGTAAGGAGACGCCCAAAAAACACGACCACATGTCAATAAGCTGAACTGAAGTAGAGAATTTGAAGAAGCTGAACCTGAACAAAATTTTTTCAAGAACTGGGCTGTCAATGCTTGTTGAGTCTGAACAGTTTTAGCTGAAAATAAAGCTGAAAGTGAGCTATAAGCCAAATGTTAGCTAAACACTAAAAATCACAAAAGCAACACAAAAGAAGTAAACATCTAAAGGAAAGCAAAAAAAAATGTAAATGGCACAAGGCTACCTCAAAGGATCACAATAGAAAAGTAAAAAGTGAAATTACTGAAATGAAATAATAATGCTGAATTATGGACATTTTAAATAAGATGAAACGGAGCAGAACAGCAGCTGAAAGTAACAAAATAATAAACTGAACTGTTCAGTGATTTAAAAACATACATGAGAATTTTGAATTGGATCCGAAGGTGAATGGGTAGCCAGTGCAGGGAGGCCAAAACTGGCGTGATGTGCTCTCTATAGCCTGTACCAGTTAAAAATCGGGCTGCAGCATTTTGGACCAGTTGTAGACGAGCAATGGAGGACTGACTGATTCCAAACAGAAGTGAATTGCAGTAATCAAGCCTGGATGTTATGAAGGCGTGGATCACTGTCTCAAGGTTCTTTTTGGAGAGTATAGGCTTCAGCTTAGACAGCCGTCTCAGCTGAAAAAAACAGGATTTGACCATCATGTTTACGTGACTGTTGAGTTTTAAGGACGGGTCCATTGTCACCCCCAGATTAGTGACCTTTTTTTTCTCTAGCGGGGCTAGAGAGAAAAGGTCAATGTCATGGTTCATGAGTGAGCCACTGGGATGGAACAGCATGACTTCAGACTTCTTCTCATTGAAGCTTAAGAAGTTTAAAGCCATCCAGTCCCGGATGTCAGCCAGGCAGTCAAGAAGAGGCTGAATAGAGCGTGTGCCTCTGTGCCTCAGGGGGAAGTAAATTTGGCAATCATCGGCGTAGAAATGAAAGGGTATGTTGTGTTTGCGGAAAATAGCACCTAGTGGCAGCAGGTATAAAGAAAAGAGAAGGGGACCGAGGATGGACCCCTGCGGTACCCCCCACTGGAGCGCTGTCGATGCCAAACTAAAATCTTTGATATTGACACAGAAGGTTCTGTCAGAGAGGTAGGACCCAAACCATTTAAGGGCTGACCCTGTGATGCCCACCCACTGCTCCAGTCTAGAAATGAGGATCTTGTGGTCGATGGTGTCAAAAGCAGATGTCAGGTCCAATAGAACAAGCAGCACAGAATCACCTGCGTCTGTGGATATGAAAATGTCATTAAAAACCTTCAGTAGAGCAGTTTCAGTGCTATGGAGAGATTTGAAGCCAGATTGGAATAACTCTAGGATAGCGTGATCCCCCAAAAACTGTTTCAACTGAGACTCTACAATTTTTTCCAGTAGTTTAGAGGTGAATGGGAGTCTGGAGACAGGCTGGAAGTTGGACATGACTGAGGGGTCAAGGTTAGGTTTTTTCAGGAGGGGCTGGACAGCAGCATGTTTAAAAGTCTTTGGCACCACACCTGAGGATAAACTGCTATTCAGAATAGTGAGGATAAAAGGACCCAGGGTAGGAAAAATTTCCTTTAGTAGTCGAGGGGGGACCACATCAAAGGGGGAACCAGATGGTTTCATGCTGCACATTACCTGCTCCAGAGAAGACAGAGATGGGCTCAAAGTGGTCAAACACAGCCACACACTGAGATGGGATGGACAGATCATGAGCTGGTGGAGAAATGAGTGCCCGGGTGTTTGCCACTTTTTCTAAAAAGAAATGGAGGAAGTTTTCACACAGCTCAGTTGAGGCTTCCAGAGGTGAACGCTCACTGAGGTGTAGAACTGAGTTCAGGGTGGAGAAAAGAACTCGGGGGTTGTGGGAGTTGGAGACAATTAAATCAGAGAAGAATTTACATTTGGCAGCTTTAATGGTTTTCTGATAGTGACGCCAACTCTCCCTTAACATTTGAAAAGAAACCTGCAGCCTGTCCTTCCTCCACCTTCGTTCAGCTTTGCGACACTGCCGCCTAACGGCTCGAGTGACGTCATTCAGCCAAGGCTCTGATTTAAGTTTCGTTTTCCTGGTTTTAAGGGGAGCAACACGGTCCAGAACATCTAAACAGGCAGAGTTGAACTGAGAGGTTAGCTCCTCAGTGGTAAGAGACACCGAGGGCTGTTCGATCCTCTCAGAGTTAAAACCTTCATTAAAACGAGCAGCAGTGAAATGGTTAATGGAACGCGTACGTGCAGGAACGCACGTTTTAGCAGTAGGACAAGGGGGGGTGAGGTCAAACAATACAGGCATGTGATCTGAAAAAACATTGTCACCGATTTTCAAAATAGAAACGGAGACATCGCGTGTTAAAACGAGGTCCAGCGTGTGACCGTGTTCTTGGGTGGGACCTTTTACCTGCTGAGTTAAATTAAAAGAGTTCAATAAATCTAGAAAGTCCTTCACTAAGGGCTTCTCCTGACAACACACATGCAAATTAAAGTCACCAATAAACAAAAAGTGAGTTTCTCTGTGTGATATCAGCCAAAAAGTCAGAGAATTCATTTATGAAGTCCTTGGAACGAGGGGGGCGGTAGACGAGCGCGCACAGAACCGGAGGAGAGTGTCCGAGTTCAAAGACGCTTAGCTCAAAGCTGGCGCGGGACACCGGGATGGACAACTGTTTACAGGCCATGTTTGCTTTAAAAACTGTTAATAATCTTTCCCCCGCGCCGACCTGATGGCCGCGGGGCATTGAGACACAGACAGTCCGGGGGTTGTAGTTCCACCAAGGCGCTGGACTCACCATCAGAAATCCAAGATTCCGTGACGAACAGAAAATCCAAATCCTGATCTTTAAAAAAGTCATTGAGGATAAACGTCTTGTTGGAAACAGACCTTGCGTTGATTAAATACATCCTGATCGGGTCCAACGCAGGCACAGCCGTGGAGGGAGAAGCGCGCGCCGGCAGGCGCAGGTTATGAAGAACAGCTCCTCCAGGTCTGCTGGTGCGGCACACAGGTAAACAACTCCAGGTGTTTACATGGACTGAGTGCGCGGGCAGCTGGCCAGCAGCCAGGCCCCGGGAGCGCCACGGGTCAGAGAGGAGAAGATCAGATCTAGAGCGAGTCCTGATTGAATAATCCACGCTTTGCCTCAGTTTCACCAAAATCCCTGCGCGCTTCCCACGACGTCTGCGACGTTTTCTCCATGGAGAAAGGCCAGGGTCACGCAGAAGGAATGCAGGAATCTCAGACAGGACCGGTGGAGGAGAATGGTGACCGCTGTACCAAAACTCCGCAGGAATTTCAGCAAATGTACGGAGCTCCAAAACTGCCCGACGATCATACTGAAAATATGACTCGGCACACTGCACCAACCATTGTAAAAAATAACAAAAATAAAATACAAGCAGAGAGCGAGAGACGGGCAGCCCTACACACACACACACACACACACACACACACACACACACACACACACACACACACACACACACACACACACATATATATATA